TGGGTTACGCTTCCGTGATGTGAGACGAATCCATGCCTCATTTATTATGGAAGCTGGTAACTTAGCTAGCAATTCAGAATATGCTTGGTTAAATGCCATTATATATTTATACATGGCGCAAAAAAAATGGAATTCCATGAAATTTCAAAAAAAAATAGACCACTTTATTCTATTAGATTAGTACATGGAGGTATATTTGTGAAATAAATCACCAGGGCCAGTTTTATTATAATTCAAATAATAATAGTACACCTATGACCGAAGGCGCTTCGGGCTGGACAATATATTATTATTTTATTAAGACAATATTCAGAATCTGGGTCAAGGACTGATCTGGAAAATTCAGCAGGTGATACGATACATAGTGTAGACCAATTTTACTAGGCGATCATGTATACAAATTATATAGCTATCATATTATTTTAATAAAGAATCTATAGTCCAGAGAATTTATTGCACATAGTCAAAGTTATTGTTAAAATCTGAGAAATCTATAATAGTTAACCCTCAGTCGAAAGTAGTAATATAGGAAGATTTGAACATGTCAATTTCTAGTGAATTACATGGATATAGTTTGCCTTCCTTTTTACATTTATATCGAGCATATTCTGAAATTTTAACAAAGTTTGTAACAATATTGTTATAATAGTCTTTAGTAGTATGGTAATGTCCAGGATTTGCTAGATATTTTAGCATAATAGTCCAATCACTATAACCAACGAATCTATAATCTTGCTGATACGATTTTATAAAAGTAACTATATATGCTACAGTAGTTAGTCGAACATATAACTGGTATTTCTTCTTTTCTGCCCAGTCATGTGGAGTATAATGATAATACAAACTACGCAAACGAGGTTCATTCTGATGATGTGCAGGTACATCTCTGGCTAGAATTCTTTGACCAAAATAGTCTACATATTGATCATCAGGAATTCTTATATCACGAGGAGTTATACCTAAATACTTCTTCTCGTCAGGAGTATTATCGTTTCTCACCATATTCCAAACTCGTTTTGCCCAAGTTTCAGGTATCAACTTGAAAGCTCTCCAAGCCCGTTGGATAATTTTTGCATTATTAAATATATGATATGCAGTCTTTTTCCACAATTCATAGTCTGCATCACATCTAATTCTAAAACCCCGACTAGAAAAATCAGTAAATTTACCACAAATCTCATAAATTTCATCTTTACTTAATTCTAATGCTATTCTTCCTCCTTTTTTCTGAATAGGATTAGAATATGCAAGATGCTTTTTAGTGGATTTAGTAATGCATTCATTCAGATGATTATTCGCATATTCAATTGTATTTTCACGAATAGTTACTAAGGAGTCGCATAAAGTGCAATAAATATAAACTGAGCGCTCTCCAACTCTAAATCTCCCATCCTTATATGATCTTTCAGTCATTTGGATAAAAGCATTCTTGGAGAAGTATTTTGGGTTATTCTCGAGAAGTTTCTTAAATGGATAAGAAATTCGAGAACACCACATTTCTGGAGTTTCATCACTATACCTATATTGCAGATTATTTAATGCCTGCACTACAACAGGATTTAAACCGGAATAGTTAAGTTTTAACCATTTTACAGGTGTAGGGAGTTTATAACAATTTCACTGATTTATAGCAATTTATAGCGATTCTTTATCAACTTATACTATAATAATGTAGGATTCATTTTTATTCACATGCATGTAGATTGGACGATCTCAATTATTTCTAATGTATAATAAAAAAATTCGTATCACATGAGATCTCCTTAGACTTAAATCACAAGATGAGTTACGGGTCAGCCAATCAGATTTTCCGTAGCAACTAAGCACGGATAATTATATTTTCTGATGGTAGAGTCTGGATACAGTGTCCAAGCTCGTCAAAATTGCACAGAAAATGGACTAATCACATGGCGCAGTATATTATCGAACTAAGATTTCAATAATTATTCTTTTAGTTAGATCACCTGTCCAGAAAGCAGTAAATAATATAACTTTAGAGTAGGTGCAGATCTGAAAAAAATCATCAGTTAATCCGGATTAAAAATCACGTGCGCGTTCTGTTTTGGAACGCCGATCACTTAGTTCATGACAGCATACAATTTTCTCTTTGAAAACTCATTAAATATTTATTAATTTTGATTGATATACATATTAGAAAAAAAGTAGGTATTCAGACGTGATATAAGCAAAAAGCATAGAAAAAGAAAGAAAAAAACAACAGCAAAGGATGAATCTAAATATCTAGATCTAAAGGAAGCATTAAAATATTCTAAGTTTCAAAAGATAAAAACAAAGTTTACTGCACGGAAGAAGAATTCTGAGAAGAGAAAAGCAAAGCAGATAGCAATAAAATGCACCCTAAGAAATTACGGATTATTACTTTTTTTAGGGGTCCACCACGGTTTACAAATATGATTATATTTATTATGAGTGATAGACTTGACTGTATCATCAACATCGAAAATATCATCGAAATCGGTATGTGATGTTTCTACATTTTCTATTGTTTTGCATGTTTTGACATACATTTCCTGCGCAATATATTATAATAGATTAGTGATGCAGAATTCAAAATATTATTATAGATTATGTTAATGATCGGGTTCATGTAACTTTGAAACCGTAATGATCAAAGTCATGTGACTGAAATTTCCGAAACATTATGTCCCGGAAAAAATTTTTTTGATGACAAATAGAATTCATAAGCTCACCATAACTAATTTAATTACGCCAATACATGTCTTTAACTTTCCGATACTCTTGAGTTTCGTCGGTAAATCAAATTTAGGTCCGGGTAAAACGACATAAAAACCTTCCATCAGGTCTTCAATCAATAATTGTCCGTTTGTTCCAGCAAATTGTAGGAAAGGAACTCGGATATCCTTGACCTGATTGTCATCGAGATTGTATTCTAATAAACCATTCAATATAGATTGGTTTATTCTGGCCGAACGACATCGATCACCAATCGTTTTTGTTGCTGTAGCCTTGGCGGAAAACTCCCATTCTCCCACATCGACTCCTAATATTGTCATGAAACGAACGTCACATTTGCGCCCATTAATATAATCCGCACTNATCCGCACTTCTACTTAAGGGACAAAATGATTCGCCCCTTGAATGCATAAATTATAAATTATGACTTGTGAAATGGCTATATTATTTTGAATATAAAGCAAACAATATTATACCAACCATCTTGGATAAATTGTGAGGCTCTTGTTAAGCCCCTCGACAATGTACGCACAAGCTTTTAGGATTACGTCTAATTCTGTGTGTGCACTTTTTGTGGTAAAATCTAAAATATCTTCTTGGTCTTTGCTCTTGTAAATGCTGTGTATGTTGAATAGTGAGGATAAGAATCACGAAAAAATAAATATCTTAGATAGCAATCAAATAACTCACAAATCTCCATATATTTTACTTATTTTATATAAGTAACTATCTTCGATTGAACTTGAATGGATTTCCGTACAGTACTTATATGCCTGGCTTACGTGTCCTTTATATACCATCTACATAGAGTAATGAATTCATAAGTATATGCATCCATATAGACAAATAAGATAATTTAAGAAAAACAAAACTCATACATCCTCGACTTTTAGAACAAATGAAATCTCCTCAACTGTCATTTCGGGAACTCGCAACATAGATTCGTAGTCTTTCTTAATGAACTTTTTGTCGTTTTCGCAAAACCACTTTTTCATGTGAGCGGATAAATCAATTATCCTCGAGGCGCCGTATCGCAATATAGCCTTTTCGAATGCCGTAAGTCTTTTCTTATTTTTTACTGTGCGTGCGTTTTCAGATATTTTTTAGGAATAGATGTCACCGACGTTATTTCCCGAAGGCAAAGTCCAAACTTTTGAGTTTGAAAGGGCAAAAGAAAGAGAGTCTTCTGGAGGTAAAGCCTCTTCATCATCGTCGCTATAGTCATTAGCTTCATTCGAAGGAATCCCATCATCGGTTTCATCACCTTCAGCATAATTTATAGGTGATGGCTTCGTAATCTTCGTACCGTCAAGTAACGTATCACTCTATAAAGAAAATAACTCGATTTACCCTTTTGTGAAAAATGTTTTTTTTTCAACCAAAAATCAAGTTATATGCTGACTCTTTTGCCTGATTTAGATTTCTTTTTGGATGGAGGCTTCTCTTCATGAAAGCGAACTCGCTTTGTTTGTTTTTGTTCATCATGACCAGATTCAATGACAATATTCTGACCTTCACTTGATTTATTTCGATCGTAACGAGTTGGGATCTCACTTCTGGCAGACTTGCGCTTTCCAGTTTCTGCTTTAACATCTGCAACAACATATGATCTAGTATCATCTAATACTTCATAGGTAGATTCTTCGAGATGATCAAGATATTTTTCCTGGAAAGAGAATAAATATATTACTAATATTTTTCCTCATTGTATGAAACAGCAGAAATAAGGCTTGTCAGCACACCTACCTTTGAATTGTTGATCTTATTTCGCCTATTTAATTTCTCTACATCTTGCCAGAAATCATTAACCGCTCGGGTATTTAGTATTTCCTATCCATGAAAAATAATATTGTTAATCGTCAAAACTCGCTTAATATTAACATGACTATCAGCAAGTACAATATTTAGACACATCGAACGCGATAGTTCATCAGCGACTCAGCCTAGAAAAGTCTTATCGAATACGGATAGATCCTTTCAGATTGTTGAGTGCTGTGATGTGATAAAGGAAAGGTGGCCAGCATCGAACACGATAGTTCATCAACGACTTGGTATGGAATATTATAATTCCGATCAGATTGTCAAGTCGTTGTGATGTGGTATAACACGATAGTCAACTTGGATGCCTGCAAGCTTCCAAGCCCACCTTACCTCACAGAAATGAAGCTTTTCACTTAACTGGAAAAATTTTTAAAGCAGAAACTGCCATAGATCGGTATTCGCTTGATTCACTGCCTGCAATCTTGCCTAAAGTTTTAGTATATGTGCCATGTTCTTTCTGCTTATCTGCTGACCAATTATCTTCCATCTGACGAAATTTCAAAAAGTTTATAAGATTCCAGTCCGAGCATTCTGAAAAAAAAAGTGTTTTCATTTTTTTCTAAACACGTCTACGAAGAAAATACGGTTTAAATTTGTGTTGGGCAGAGTCGTTAGATTTATATGTAGGGGTGAAAGCAGGGACGATGATTTCCTGCTTTAAGCAGAAAGCCGCAGATCTGGTGGTTCAAATGGTTCGAAGCAGATATTAAGTAAAATAACCGCAGATTTTAGGGGTAAATGCTCAATCACATGATTTTAAACCAATCAGAAGTACAATCTATTTATAGAGTCCAATCCTGTCTGTCTTCGTCATGTGATCACACCCGGCCCTAGCTCCGATAAGGCCCAATTTTAGATTTAATTTGCAATTTGCCGATTAAAAGATTTTTTTTTTATAGCCGAAATAAGCAGAATATATGCAGAAATAAGTATTTTAGGCGCAGAAATAGGGCAGATTTAGGTTAAATCGCCGGCAGAAATTACAAAATTTCGCCGCAGGAAATCATCGTCCCTGGGTGAAACTTGAAAGCAACTTACTTTGTTACGTAAACCGTGTAACCATCAAAACTGTCTACCCCTGAATATGACGATCAATTATTGTATCCATACGCGACGTTTCTAAAAGCCGATGTTCAAGAGTGGATTGGTGTTAGTGAGAAGTGAGAACTATGTACTGCCAAAATTTCACGATTATTGGTATATTATTGGCTTTATTAGATCAGTTTTTGATGTATTCTATTATTCCAGTATTATTCTAAAATCAAGAGAAATTTACTAAAATAAATAGTTGACTTATTTAATAACAAATCTATATAATACAACTAGAATCATCTTTTGATCTAGCTCACAATGAAAACTTTAGGAGGTTAAGCAAGGGGAGTTCGTCATTATCAATCTTTAGACCTGAAGTAACAGCAAGATGATCAAGTTCCTCTTCAGAGAGACTCGAGCGATCACCAAAACGAATCACCCAAGGAACCATCCAAGAAATCATCTAAAACTATTACGTGTTCTCAAGATTCTCCTATAACATCAGGACCGGTGACACCATCAACCGTTGAAACACCTAACAACTCCAGACCCGTAACCCCAACTATCCCTTCCTTTTCGCAAAATGCGAATGTCATCAATTATGGTAGAGGATCAGACGAGCAACAGGAATAAGATTTTTTTCGTTAGTATAGGCGTTTTTAATAATTTAGTACATTTTATATTTTTAGCTTGTAAGCAGAATACAAAGGCAAAAATATACTATCACTTGTAAAGCACACAAGTTTAAAAACTCAAAGTAAAATCTTTATTATAATTTTGTAAAGTAATACGTGAGAAAGGGCCAGCCGGCTAAGAAAAAATGAAAGTAAAAAACAATAGAGTAGCAGGTTGTTTCAAGGGAGGAATTTGCCGAGCCCTAACCCATATAATGGCAGTTCCTTCCCCACTACGCATTATTATCTAAACTGCTAATATTCTTTACTATCTAACCATTGGCTAACTAACTTTACTGTACTATATTTCGAATCACTGTACCCATAATAAAAACTTTTTATAGTAGCCCCTCCAATCTTTTTCCCTGTAAGTTGACAAATTTCACGAGCTACCGTTTCACACATATAGTCAACAGAATCACTCTAAGCGAATTAAAAATTTGCTTAAAACGGGCCTCAACATTTTCAAAAAAAGATGAATTGGACGATGAACTTCCGGAATAAGAGCTCGCATGTGAAGACTCTGATTGGCTTGAAGCTTCGGAATTGTTAGCCACACTGTGTTGAACAGATTCATCAGATTCGTCAGAGACTGACCGAGTTCTTTGAGCAAGTATGCTATCTACATCGTGTCGAACCATATTACTTACAAGAACTTCGATAGTAGCATTTATTGTGGTAAACTCTGATGAAATTCTAGTAAAATTGGTTTGATATTCTCGTTCGATTTCATCAAGTCTTGTAGTCACGTTACTGATTATTGATCTTATTTCTGCGCCTCCGCAGAGTAACCAACATCACGTGAATTTTTTTTCAATTTCTGCAGTAATTTCATGCTTTATTGATCTCCGCAGTGAAATTGGAATAGATTTCATTCTTAATTTTGCTAATCTCTGCAGTGGAATTAACGTTAACTTCGGAAATATGTGCGCTAAGCTTTTTGTTCATTTCGACAAAGGTCTTTTCGATTTCCGGTGTATTATTTTTTGTATCAAGATCATTGACGATTCTAGTGACACGTGCAGAAAGTTCATCGGAAATTTTTTGTTTGAGATTTGCCCACATGGTAGCGATCCCTATGAATAACACTGGACCAATGAACAAAAAAACAGCGGTTAAGGTCAAAAAAGGCATGATCCCCGAAGAGTTGAGCAATGACAAACTGGACATGATTAGGCGTAGTAATTTTATTTAGAGATCTTATTGGTGGATCAAGATATTAACGATTGATTTTTTTAATATGCAATATCTTGTGTAAATGCGCTGGGAAAAGCTTTATTTTATACTGTATGCCTACTACGCGTGAAAAGAGAATTTAACCCGATTTAAATAGATCAAATAAAAAATTACGTTGTTTCATTATATGTATTTGTCATAATTATATTTTTCATAATTACATTTTTTCCACTATAACGGCCTGGATCCCATCTAATACAATACATCTAATAATAACAAATGTCTCTCCCTGAATTTAACAATATGGCTTAAAATTAAATCCGACGAATTACGGTTTTATGACAACTTAATATTAATACTAATAGAGCAATGCCATGTCTCAAAATTTTCCATTTATTTCTAAGATCTCTTGCGAAATAGAAGATCACATGTGGTGCATGTAGGCGCATCTTTGTTTGAGTTCACAACCCCTATTTCAATTGTAATCACAAAAAAGGAATATAAAATGAATGGATCGAGGTCTGTAGATGACGAATCGCACATGTACAACTAATTCCTAGTCAAAAAACGGATTAATATGTGATTAACCTGTATACGTAATTTGAATGCGCTAACGTCAGTAGGATAATAAAAATATACCGTTTATCCGAGGATCTGTAAATCATTGATTCTAATCGGCTCTATTTCCATTTTTGAATTTCTTTTTAACGACGCCCTGTCTTACGATCAGCATGTAAATCAGGATGTGTTATTTTTTATTAGTAATTCAGAACTGCGTAATGAGCGAGATAGAACATGCCAGAACTTCTTTCGGCTTGGCGCTGAGGAAAGTCCATCAATATGTCAACACAAAAATATCTGACGGCATTTCATAAGATCTTCATTGTTACAAAAATAGCACTCTGTTAATCAGCCATTATTACGAAAATAACACATCTAAAAATAAAAACACCGCGGAAATAGCACAGGGAGTAGGATGACGTTTTACTGTGCACGATATCTAAGCCACCCACGTGATTCGAAAAAAAAAGAAATAACCTATACGATAATTAGGCAGTCTATGCGAATATGTGATTTCGCTTGATAATTCTCCTAGGCGGTTACCGGAGAGATAATAGGACTCATCATTGGGGAGGATTTCCTTTCATATCCTCCATCACGATAATAATAACCTCTATCACATTCACCATATTCATTATATCCACCGTATCTATTGTATCCATCATCATCTGAATCATCTGGCATCTCTTCTTCAGAATCGTTGTCGTGACTACAGTCATCATCATCCGTTTCTTCCACTGGATGGGGTGCGGAATCATGATCGACTTCCTCATCAAAATATACATCATCGTCTGACTGGACCCTAGGAGACTCCTTAACTTCGTTCACCTCCTCTTTCTCTACCCTAGCCGAGTTCTCGTATGGTGTGCCCCAATTAGCAGTCTCATCGTCAAGACTTCCCGTGAGCATATTTACATAATCATCCAAATCGGCTGATAAGGATGAATTTTCTTCAGGTATGGGTAAGCTTTTTTCGTTAGTCTCAGAATTTTCAGTCACATGATTTTGTTCCTGACCAATGGTCAGGATGTCACGTGCATTTTCTGCGACTCGATTAATGATGTTTAGTATTTGAGCATTACTTAATTCTGATATACCTCTTACTCCATACGAAATTCCATAAACTTTATCGATACCGATTCCCATAACTTCTTTTTTAGTGGCAGGATCGATAATCTTCCCGAATAGCTTATAAACACTTCCAGCTCTTTCGGTCTTCTTATACAGATTTGAATCTGAAACATTGGGTAGAGAAGCCTTGATCATGGCGTAAACTTGAGACTTTGCAGTTTTTTCGGCTACACCGGTTTTAGAGCAAATTTCTGCAACCTTATTTTGATATGATTCGCTATAATTATACCAGCATACAAGTTCTTTTCGTTTAGCTTCTAACGTTCTACCTTCCGCAACTTTAGCATCGGAAAATAATTGAGCCAAATCTCGACCTTCCCCAGGTACCGTTTCAATCTCTCTAGACTCAAGGATGTCAATTGATGAGGTGAGTGCTCTTTTTTGAATAAATGAAATCACTTCCTGAATTATACCTTGCTCAACTTTCTGATTGTATGGTATTTTTCGGATAACAGGTAGAGAAGAGTTTGCCTGAGATGAACTATGCGAAATATGATTGTTTTCTAGAGAGCTTGAAGGAGACAAAGAATCAGCATCGTGCGACCCAGTCTGATCAGAGGTTATAGGGGCCACAACTTCTAATGCGACTTCAGATGACTCACGCTGGTCGAAAGGCGCTATGCAAAGCTTCTTCTCCCTATTCCTCTGCCTTATACTATCACTAACATTTTTCTTGTTCCTCTCATCCAAGAAAGCAACAGTCTTTCTATCTTCTGATGACTTAGAGCTGGCAGGTACAGGATTATCTATAGACAACCGCACTTCTGGTACCGCATCATTTGTTTCACAAGCAGGTGAATGGACTGTCATAGACTCTGTTATGTCGACATGTTCCTTGGGAGAGAAATCATTCTGTGGCTGTCTGGACTCTTGTTCCAATTTCGCAACTCTAGCCTTAAGTTCAGCATTCTCGGCTGAAGTATCTGCACTATTTTTCTCCAATTCCTCGATTCTGGCCTTGTGCTCGGCATTCTCAGCATCACGCCTAGCATTCTCCTCAATAATATGTCTCAATTTCGCGTTCTCAGCCTCGATCTCAGCAACCTTCTTTTTAAGTTCAGGAATCTCGGCATTCCGGGTCTCAAGCTCAACTTTTTCCGCCTTAATCTTAACGTACTTAGCCTCAAGCTCGGTGAAATGTTGCCTCAATAAATCTATTTCGGATTGCATGCCTGTTAAATATAATACTATTTATGCTCTGTATGTTAGTATTTAAAATTGAAAAAATCACGTGACATCCTGACCAATGGTCAGCAACTTTTGCCAAGAAAATTTTTTATTAATACATGCGAAAAATAAATACAAGATCGGGACTTAGCCCGTGATACAACTGATACATGACGTCTATGCTAATGTCTAATCCTACAGTCTAACTAACCACCTTACATTTACGTGACTTGGAAGTTCGCCCCTCCTTCTTTACGAAATGTCTGTAAAATACATGATTATTAATTATAAGACACTAGGAATACAGGAAACCACAATACAGTAATTTGCGAAATAGTTAGACTCTTACACAATATATCCATCTAGCAATTGAGATAATTTGAGCTGTTCCTCCTCGAAAAGCTTTCTCTTCTTTTTTGTATCCTCCCGGCTTGCCATCCCGAAGTCAATCAGGTATAGGGCACCTTTATCGTTAATTAAGATATTTTCCTTCCGAATATCATTATGGAGGATGCCATGTTTGTGGATTGCTTCCAATCCCTTAATAGCCCTTGTCTTTTGCTGTTCCGTTATTTTTTGGTCGCTCAACATACTACCAACAATGGTTAAGCCGATAACGAAGCTCATGCCTCCTCCATAATATCCATAACAGACCAGCTTTGGGATATACTTGCCTTGAATATCAGCTAGATCTTTATACATATCTACTTCTTTCTGCATTTCTTCCAGAACATACGATGGAGCCTTCGATAGGTCTACACTCTTCAAAGCAATCATTTCACCACGAAATTCGCATAGGAGCGTTTTTCCACTTCGTCCTTCACCTAGTATGCTCTTAAACTTGAAGTCTGCAAAGCTAAACTTTTCCTGGTCTACATTGGAAGCGCCAAAGGCGGATGACGATTGTTGATTCGCAGAGGTGCTGGAAGCCTGATTAGTTAATGAAGAGCTGGATGATGATTTTGAGTTTGATCGAAGAGTACGTGAATTATTATCCCCTTGAGCCGGCACTAGTACTTGAGGTTTAGGAGAGTTGGGATTCTCTTTCGCCTGTCGAGTTAGATAAGCATATGCCTTGAGAACTGGTGGAGATTCGGATTGTAGTGGAAGGGTTTTTGAGATCCAGAGCTTCGTGTGTTCTCGGCATAGAAAC